TGTATAGAGTTACTTCTTTAAAAATTGATTACTTCCTTCCTTTCTTTGGAAGATTCCCATGTATGAAGATGGAATAGTAGAAAGCCAAAAACTTTCTTTCTCAAAAATTAGTCACTCCAAAAAATATTATCCTTTCAAATTATGTTACTTATATTACAAGATATTTTTTCATTTTATGTATCCACTTTTAGTTCGTTTTTCAACACAAAATATCAAAACACTGAGAAATCTACGCACACGAACAATGATGTTGACAGGTTTGAGTCAAACTTGTTTTGTTTCAAGAGCTATTTCGATATTCGAAGATTAAGACACGCCCGAGGAAACCATTGTATGGCGAAACACGTGTTGCGTTTTTGTAAAACTGTCTAGTGAAAATCTCACAATAAAGTGTTTTTAGAATACGTTAGTTATGGATTTTCATCAAGTATCGGCCGATTCCATCATATATCTATTTCAATATATAAAATGTTTCGAAAAACATGATATGTTGAGAAACATGATATGTTGAGAAACAAATATGACACACATATTCAAACCCGCTGATAGCTCAGTCTAGATGCTCTTTGCCTTCCAACCACGGGTCCCGGGTTCGAATCTGGTATAAGAAAATTAACTTTTTCATTTTTTGTTTATATGTAGATACAGAACTGAGTTTAAAATATTTGGTGGTTAACGATAAACTTTTAAAGACCAATATTTTGTAACAAAACGATATATGATATATGTGATATAATATATGATAGCTAAACCAAGCAAACATCTGACAGCAGTGATTAATGAGTCATTAATAGCTCCCATTAAGGTGGAACAAACGGACGTATAATGGGTACATTATACAATAGTCGTGGATAAAAAAAAATTATCACAATTGCTCTCAACTATTTTTTTCACTTTTCAGGTGCTATTCTTCAAAGCTTTAGAAAAAATCTTTACAGGATATATTAATTTTCATTTTTAGATGTTGAAAATGAAAAAATCTAATAAAATACTCAAAAAAATTTCAATGTCACGGTCATTTCGTTTTCTTATTAATTTCTTACTTTTGAAAAATGCAACGAAATGTGCAATGTTTGAAAAATACGAAGTGTTTAAATATTCTAATTCAAATGTAGATTGAAAAATGGTTTCTCAAAACAAAAAATTCATTTCATCAAACAGCATTCTTCGATCAACTATTTATTCTTGCCAGTTAATATAAATATTTCTAATGCTCTTTCGTATTCTGATTTTTTTATTTGATTTTTCAATATTATTTAATCAAAAAATGAAAAAAATGGTCTTTCATCATTTTGTTGAAAAATGTATAATTTTCACTTCATTCTCAATATCCACAAGGCTATCATCAGTTTATCTCTCTTTTCTTTCATCATATCATTATATTCAATATAGCTTTCACAGTTTAGAAAAAAGTGTTTATAGTAAATTATCAATTGAAATACCAAAAACATGAGAATAAGTATGAGCTGTAGGAGTGATGATTTCTCAATACAAACAAACAAATAATTGAAAAACAAATACCAGTACATCGAAATAGAAATATTAAGAAACGACTTGAAAATTATTTTTATCCACGTTATCCAATGTTAATTAATCCCCCAAGCAATCTAAGGAGCATCATGACTCACACACTCACAGTCCATCAGTCATGTAACATCGCAGAATATCCTGTCGAGGTGAGGATCGAATCCACTACCTTTCGATCGTAAATCGGGCACACTAACGCATGCACCAAATTATTATTTGCAATAATATTACAATTACATAAATAAATTTATTATCTTATAAACAATACATTTGATGATAACACACTTTCCAAACCCTAAGAAAAATAATAACAAATATCTTGTAGCCTTTTATAAATAAGAAAACAAAACAATCATGAAAAATCAAAATTTCGTAATTTTTTCAGTAAGTATGTCTTCAGATTCTTCAAAAAATATCTCCAGAAAAAATACAATCCTAAATTCAATCTTGAGAATTATCAAGGATTTTATGCAGTGACATCCTAAAGTAACAGAAATCAATTTCTACGTAATTATGAACAAAAATGAAAAATCCTGAAACAGGTCAGTTTTCACAAAAGGAAAAACACTTTCTCCATAAAAATATTCAACTGCCCCTTCAAAATCACAGGGGAATTAGCTACCCCTGTGAAGAATCAAATGAAATGATTTTTAGACGTGGATACTGAAAAAAAAGTATTTTATTTCATAGAAATAAACAGCCCTCNATTGAACTCTGTAACATTGTCTGAGGTTTTTCTGAGACTACGTTCTCCTCTTTTTGTTGAATTAGCTGCCGGTACTGTTGTCACAGTAACTGATTTTTCAAAATCGGGGTACCCATCAAAAATGATAGTGCTTGCTGCGTTATGTTTCTCTGCATAGCGCAAATATTTATTCATGATCTCTTCTACCGTTTTATTTTCTGCCAAATTACTTTGTGGCAGTAAAAATCCACCGTCCTAGATATGTGAATGACAAAACTTAGAGTGGCAACATTGCTTCGAGCAAGACAGCTGCGTCCTCAGACGAAGCTTCTGTTCACTATGGACAGGAGGAGTCTGGCCAAATGCGCTAGACTGAAAAGCAACGGCCATATAAATTGGAGAAGAAGAAGCTAATTTCAAAGTGTCTGTCTTCCAGCGTTTCATTTTTCTGCCAAATTACTTTGTACAGTAAAAAGCCACCATTCTCATCATTTTTCCCTAACACGCCCTACTTCAAAAACAGATATTTTGACGTGACAATTTTCCATTGAGAATTAGGGTGCTTTTTCGATAATGAATCAAAATAAGGGGAAAAATTAATATTTCACATTCAAGAAATTACAGAGTGTTTGGGACATGAAAAGGTAAATGGTAAAAAAATTGTAGAAGATAAAAATAAAAAAAACAAAAATCGGTTCTTGCATAACTTCTGAGGTTATGTATGGATACAAAAATTGTAGATCTTTTCAATACCAGCAACTTTTCCCTCCAATTTTTTTCCATAGGACTTGTAGTTTCGTCGAAAATCGCGATAAACTTTTTTTAACCTTAAAAACTCACCCCTTACACTTCCCGACCGCACATAGCCCGTAAATCATTTTTTTCTTTTATTTTTGTCATATTTTCTTCCTTTTCCAATGGGTTTCAACCTACTACCTTTTTCTTTGTTTCAAAAATTATCGGCATAGGCCTATAATAGTCCAAAGGTGCCATTTTGCAAGTTATGGCTCCTTCGCCAAAAATTATGATTGAGATTTCATTACATTCGAAATTTCACCCAGAGTAATTTACGATTAGAACAAAGTTCCGCAAACAAAATGTTAGAAAAAGCTACCTTTTTCGAAGGCTTCGGAACCGGTCTACTAGACCATATCTAGACACCGACTTACCTGCGTCGGCGAGCTCTGATAAAACATCAAAGCGGAAGTCATCTCGGGCAGCGCAATGGGAATCGACTCGAGTTTGTCGGCGAACGCCGTCAACGTTTTGGCAGCCTTCTCCCGTAAGTCTTCCCTGTGCAAGTACGCCGCCAACCTGATGAGATTGTGTACGGAAACGGAGTTACCGCAAGGCTCGGCGCCGTCTTGATCTGCAACAAAATGTATCGATGAAGGTTGGCATCATCAATCGACAGATGTATGAGTGACGAAAAATAATAGCTATTTATGATATCAATGTTAAAAGTAAGGTTTTATTTTGTGAGTGATAAAGTTTGCAAAACGAGCGTAGCGAGTTGAGCAATTTCACGAACAAAATAAAACTTACTTTTAACACAAATAGCATACAAAGTTTTTTGTACAACCGTCCTATTTTCATAAATAAAATAGATACATTTGATATTTCTATAAAAACACATTTTGACATCTCTTGTCAGTTAACTATTTTCATGTTGATCGCAATTGCTGTGAAGTGGCAGTGTCAGGTGACGCCGAATTACTTGGTTACCAACAAACAGTATTGTTTACAGCTCACGTAAATATGTTTGACAGTGATAATTTATGTAGTGAAAATGAGCAGCGTCTTGCAAAGAAACCAAAATCACACTACGAACACTATCAAGTCATCAGTAAGTTAATTATACTTTTATATTTCTTAATTTATCTGTGCATCTATCTGTGCGTTCAGCCCGCATATATTTGGTCTGTCTCAAAGGTCAGTAAATGCAAAATATACTCTGTTGGTGAAATAAAATGTACACAATTTTCATAGCATATAATGTTTTCAAATTAATTAATTTTAATTTCATTCTTATGAAAAATAATGCACTAAAACACTTGCTTGAAGAGTAAATTTCATGAAGACTGACAAAATTGTATTTCAAAATCAGCTGAACTACTTGATTTTACAATGATGGTGGAATTTATATATAAACAATCATTTTTGATATTCAGTATTCAAGGTCTCTAGATAGTTATTGCAATAACTATCTGGGATTTTTGAGTTTACTAGTATATTAAAGGCACATTAAAATTTTAAAGTAAAAATTGAATTACATATTTTTCATAAATATGTCAGTGCCCAACAAAATATTATTATTGATGTTTTACATCTGACGGCTCACATTTTTTTTATTTGATTATCATCTGTAGAATTTTTGAGTTATTTTCAATTTTCAAATGTTTGTAACTTTGCCATTGTTCATGTTCGAGTTCGAAACATTGGTACACTTAATGAGGGCGTGTTGACTGTTCTTGTTCATCTTTCACTGCCTGAACCACTGTGCATGCTGTTTTTGGCGAGTGCATTGGCTTGGGATGTGTATATTGAGCAAACTGGCCATCGGATGTCTGCTTCCACGTAGCCCCGCTGGATACGGGAATGACAGAATCACATGTGGTTCTGTTACTCCCTAACTGAATGGTATCCCAACGATGGCTCACTCCTAAGGTGTGTGTATCCGCGCCAAGAGGATGAATGACACTGAGCCTATCAGCTGTCTCTACAGAACCTTCGAGATACCGGGCGCCCTCTCGTCGTAGCATCGCCTTGTCACGGTAATGCGGGGCGCTGCCGTGATTTACCTTCTTTCCCTAGCTACTTGTGGGACTTTTATGGTCAGAGTAAACTTAAAAATTCTTTCTGACGATGACTCTACAGAGAAGATGGATGTCGAGCTTACGACTCCAACTAACTTTCCTGTAAAGTTAGATCACGAGCGAGAGTTTCTCAACTCTCCAACACCTGATCCAATAAGTGAACCTAAAAAACAGGTTTGATGGTACAGCCAGAAAACGACTGGGTCGTCTCCTCAAGAGCGGGGTACCTTATGAAACCGCTTTGCACCAAATTCTTGAGCGACGTACGCAGACTCTGTCTCAGGTGGACGAATAAAAAAACCCCCCATGAACAGGTTAGCAAACGTTTGCGCTCAAGTGATGATTCACCAAAACCAGAGGCGAAATGTTGAATAGACACACTAACTTTACGAGATAACACCTAACACTTTACGAGATAACACTCATATAATTAGTCGTGAAAAGTATCAAAACGCTTTTCAACTTGTCACCTAGTCTACCAATTTCGACAAACTGTGCCAATAACGTATGAAAGAAGAATGATATAAAAAATCAATACATTTTTTGTCTCTTCAAAATGTTGAAAATTATCAATGTTTCTATGTTACCGCTTGTTCTAGGGTGGGTAATAATAAAGGCGAATTTTAAAATTATCGTGATGAAACAATTCTTCAACATCATCTCATGATCGTTTGAAAAAACCAGGCAACCATCATATGATAGGAAAGTGTTATCAACTTGAATGAATGCAGATATTACCTCGCCCATTTATCGCTCATAATAAATGTCCATTGGAAAAAACTTCTGGTGTGATACTGACGCCTTCGCCAAAATGCTGCTTCGTCAAAATGCTGCTTTGGCAAAAGTGTTGGTTCTTCAAAATGTCAAAAACTAGGGTATTGTTTGAGAATCTAATAAAAATCGGTCGATCGGTTTCAACTATTTTGTTGCTGATACTTAAGGTGTATTTGAGTACCCTCCTGGTGAGCAACAAATTCATAATACTCCGTATTCCAGAAAATGCCGGTTTCAAAATAGCAAGAACAGGGAGAATTTGAAAAAATATTAAAAATCGGCCGATCAAGGCCAACTATTTTGTTGCTGATTATCAGAGTGTATTTAAGTACCCTCCAGATGAGCAACACATTTCAAACCGTTTTTATTCTCAGGAAAACCAGTTTCGAGATAGCAAAAACAAGGAACAAAAAAAAAATAAAAATCGGCCGATCAGTTTTAACTATTTTGTTGCTGATACTCAAGTTGTATTTGAGTATACTCTTGGAGAGCAACAAATTTGAAACACTTTTTATTCTAAGGAAAACCAATTTCAAGATAGCAAGAACGTGGAAAATAAAAAAAAATTAAATCGGCCGATCGGTTTCAACTATTTTGTTGGTGATACTCAAGGAGTATTCAAGTTTACTCTTGGTGAGCAACAAATTTTGAACATCTTTAATTCCAGGAAAAACCTGTTTCAAGATAGCAAGTTAAAAAAAAAATTAAAATATTTAAATTTTTTTCGCTATATTCAAGGTTTAGCAGCTAAATAGTAACTAAATCTTCTATAAAGATCAAAGAAAAAGTATATAATCTATTGAGTCATCTTGCTACCTTTATATCACGATAGCATTATTTGCGATTTCTAGGGATCGGCACGATCAACAAAATCGGTGTTTTGGCAACTAATTAGCAACTATTTAGCTACAAATTGATGTATTTCTTTTTACAATTTTGCTGGATTCACCATGCTAGTCTGATAGGGCTTCTCGTCATTCCATTTGGATTCCAGGACATCGGCTACGGGGGCACATCTTCACCGGCAGCAGGAGGTTGAATATCTTAATGATGATGTAGAAGTGATTTCGAATAGGGATGAAAGTGCCACAAAAACCCAGGCAGCGGTTTTCTCCAAGAAGATATCATTATATGACATCATTATATCCGTTTCGGATATAATGATGTCAGGTCAAACAATCCCGCTTTCTGCTTCGATGAGTTTGTTGGGGATTAAAATGGACACCAATATATCTTGACACAATCATGTCGCTGGAATTGAAAAGGCTGCTTCTCAGAAGCTTGAAACACTGTTCCGCACCAGAAAACTGTACACACCTCAGGAACTTTTGATACTTTATAAAGCTCAGATCAGACCTTCTTGGAAGTATTGTTCTCATTTATGGGAACTCTGCCCCGAAACATACCATGAAGTTGCTGGATTCCATACAGAAAAGAGCCATCCACCTGACTTGAGACGCAAACATCACCTGCAACCTTGATAGCCTAAAACATTGAAGAAAAGTTGGAGATTTGTCTCTCTTCTATAGATACTTTCACGGGAAGTTTTCAAGTGACTTGGCACATTTGATTTCAAGAGCGCCACATATCGGAAATTCGACGGACTGTGGCTGCTCATCCTTAAAAAATTCAGCACATAGTGCCCACCGTTATCAGTAATGGCCTAGCCAACGTCGTTTCCATAGAAATATGGACCGATGACACCGCCAGCCCAAAATCCACCCAAACTTTTCGGGATGCACTGAATGCTCTAAGATCTCATGTGGATTGGTTTCGTCCCAAATTCGATAATTTTGTTTATTCACATACCCATTCATCCAGAAATGGGCCACATCATTGAAGATGATTTTTCGATGAAAATTAAGGTCAGTTGCCAACTGCTCCAGAGCCCATGCAGCAAACACACGTCGTTGTCTATGGATTTTTACCTTCAGTTCCTAGGTCAGTTGAATTTTGTACGGGTGAAGGGCCAAGTCACGACTCAAAATTCGCCAAGTTCTAGTCTGCGAAAGGCCGAAATCTTGTGAGCGACGCGAAATCGATTGCCTCGGATTCTTCCACACTCTCACAGACAGCGGCGATGTTTTCGGCAGATCTTCCGTTTTGTCGACGTCCGGGAGTTGGTGGAGTCAGTGCACCAATGAACTCATGTTTATCAACCACATTGCGGATAGTCCTCTCGGTAGGACGACTATGACAACCGTGAAATGGATTAAGCGCGCTGTATGTTGCCCGAACAGAACACCCATTTCAATTGAACAATTTTATTATTTGCAGGAATTGTTGAATGTTATATCCGTTCATGGTGATTTGGCAAAACAGAATGAATAAATGACAACTAATTTGACAGATGTAGCTTGAACAAGATAACCCTTATCAATTGTCAAAGTTAGGAAGTCCCTTTTGGAAGACCCTTTAGTTCGATACATCTATCATAACGGTTACAAGTATTTCCAATTACCTACATTTCGTATTTTTGGGGGGATAATTTCTGCACTTACCTGTAGAATTTCTGTACATTAAATCAGTCAACCAATATGTGAACGTTGACACGATTTCAACTGTGAGATTTGCTATTTTCACTACGTACCGCCTGGCCCGTGCTAGGACTCGCACATTAAAAAGCAAGACCTCGTTATCTATTAGTTTCAACTTCTCAGGGTTGTCGTTTATCATACGGTCAACGATAAAACACAATTCAAACGCAATTTATATTTTTTGTATGCTAGGAATCGCACGTTAATATGTAAGACCCTGTTAACATTTAGTTCGCACAAGT